CCCGGCCCCGAGAAGCAGCGCTCAGCGCCCCCCGCCGGCAGCCGCCGGGTCCTGCAGCGCCATCCCGGTCAAGCCGGCCTCCCCCGGCCCGGATCCGGTCCCCGGGTGGGGGAGGCAGGAGTGCGCAGGGCGCAGATGAGCCCCGAGGAGGCCTGAAGCGCCCTCCTGCTTCCTACCAGCCGCTGTCCCTCGGCTGCCGCCTCGCCTCCAGCAGCCCCGCGGCCTCGGGGAACCGACAGCCGCCGCCGCCCAGCCAGGGCCGCTTCGCACCAGGACCCTCCGTCGCGCCTCACCCTAGTCCCTGCCCCAGTGCCCTCACTTGCTGCAGAGCAGGGGCTGCGGACACCGGGCCGCTCACCCGATCCGCCATGGCCCTCCTCGTCTTAGCTTCCCGCCGGGGAAGGCGAGGAGCAGGGCGTTTCCAGCAGCCCCGCGCCCCAGGGCAGGTCTCCGAAGGTGGGGCCCGCACAGTATTTTGCGGGAGCTGCACAGGGGCCCCGCGCTCCCAGCCTTTGCGAAGTCAGTTCTGTGATTGAACTTTCCCCATCTGTTAAACGAATGCCAACCGGCCCCCCAGGAGCAGAGTAAGGACAAACAGCCAACGGCCCCCAGTTGGTAAAGACAAGAGTCCCAAATCATCATTCATCAATGCACAGCAGGGCAAGGAGCTTCCAAACCAGGGCTCATGCGGCATAGCTCCTCGCCCTGCTCCACTTCAGAGGAGCACAGTGAGGGTGGACGGGACCTCAGGTCACAACTGGTCTGACCCCCTGCTCCAAGCAGCACCAGCCCCAACTGCAAGGCCTTGAGCCAGGCCTTAAAAGCCTCCAAGGAAGGAGAGTCCGCCACCTCTCTGGGTACCTCCTTCTCCCCTAGTAAAAAAGTTTTTCCTAATACTTAACCTAAACCTCCCTTGCTGCAACTCAAAACCATTGCTCCTTGCTCCATCATCTGCCCCCACTGAGCACAGGAAGCAGGGAGCTCTTTAGAGTTAAATCCCTGCCTTGCGTGCACAGAAAACATCCAACTCAGACCTCTCCCTCTGCAGCGAAGCAGTTAACTGTTCGGGTGACTATATATCAAACTGGTGAAGGCACCTAGTCCAACACCCATTATTGCTGCTATAAAGCACATTAAAGTTGCACTCAAGGGCAAACTATATAGAGGCAGGAATACCACCTCTTCAATGCTAAGCTTCTGAAATTTTAATTTTATTTTTAAAATTATATATTATATATAAAAATTTAAAAATAAATTTTAAAAATTAAAATTTCAGAAGCTTAGGGTTCAATAGGCGGTATTCCTGCCTATATATACGCATTATATAAATATATATGCATTTAAATTGTGTATCTTGCGAGTGGGAACAGAGAAAAAAAAAGTCAATTTTTTCTTTACCAACAGAGAAAAAGCCAAAATAAAGAGAACTTTGGCCGGAACCATGCTTTAAACGTGTTTCCTTTCCAACAGGAACAGTCGTCTACCCGGGTCAACTGTTCTGGGTTTCTCCTCCTTAAAGCCCCCACGCAGACCTGGATGAAAAGCAGCACCTCCCACCAGTTCTCCCTTGCTGCAGGGGCTGAGCCCAGGGCACTGCCACGCCTCTGGGGATATTACCTCATCTGGACATGGCCTGGGACCCTCCTGGAGAGGATGGATCATATCCCCATCATTCTGGTTTCAAGCAAATGCTTGTTTCCCTTCATTCAGAAAAAGCCATTTGCTAAAACACTTGAGATTCAGCAGGTCCGAGGCGCACAGCCCTGGTGAGCACAGCACAACAAATGTCAGCTCCAGGATGTCATACGTGCCACTAGGAGCATGCCGCAAGCTTCTAGCTGCAGATATACACAGCATTAGAAGCAAAGCAAAAAAGCTGAAAGGATTCAGGCCGCAGTTACTTCATAGTTTTAGTGACCTTGTGTTACTGCTGCTATTCCATGATACAGATCACAAAGTGCAGCCAACTCAGGGCTAAAAAAAAGTCAAAAAAAGTTTGAGAACCACTAACCTAGCAAATATCAGCCCAGACATCACACTTCATACTTCTGTTTCCTCCTTTATTATCATGGAACAGAGCAGAGGGCAACAGAGACCGCGGCAGATTTGATGAAGCTGGACTGCACTGGCTTGCGTTTCCTTGAGCAGAGCTAGCATCTGGATTGCATTTTCCAGGCAATGTCACCGTTAGAAACCCCCAGTGCAGTTTCTCTCCCATTTTGTTGATACGTCCAATGATTAAAACCAGGTATTTAAAAGAAAGTTTACACTGAGCCTCCAGTCACTCTTTTCAGGCCCGACAAAGGCTGGTAACAGTGAAAACAAGACAGCTTACATCAAAGATCTTCCAAAGACACAAAAGAACCCAGTTGGGTACCACCGCTGTTTGCATGAAATATTGAGTGACCAGGCGCTCTTGAGCTTCATTGATTGACTGGAAGGACGGAGCCAGGAAAACACTTTAAAACCAATTCCTTTATTCACCAGTTGTCATAACATTCTTTGAGGAATTGTCAGGCCTTCCTTGACAGGTATTTGTCCTTTAAATGCTATAAACAAGACAAGACTGGCTTCAAGTTCCACTGTACCCTGTCATGACACAGAACCACTGCACCAGAATCTTTTCATTCCCATTTATCTCCCTTTCACGCTTGGGTTTGCCAAGGCTCTCTGGAGAGGAGAGCCCAGGCAGGCTGTTAGATTGCATTAGCTAGCGAGTCCCCCCTCCACTCCCCCAACGCAGCGTAGATGAGACTTTGTGCTAAAGTTGGTCAAGTTAAAACCCATGAGGTAAGCCACAGCTTTACTTCAATCAGCTGAGCACAAATAAAAAGAAAGCACAAGTGCTTACAGCTTTGTTTCAATTACCCCATCTCTACCTCTTCATTTCTTATGAACACATTTTCACTGAGCCCAACTGGGTCGACAACTCCTATTCCCAGACCTAAATCTAGATGCTAAGGAGTTAGCGTCTCACTTTAGGGAACGTATTACGCTCATCGCATTAAATGAGAAGGATTAAAATGCAACCCCATAATGGGACTGACATCTTCTGAGAAGCTTGGCAGGGATCCTGGAGACAGTGGGAGGCTGAACCTCTTTACTGGTTGCTTCCTCATTTTACCTGGGGAGAAAAATGACATATCAGTGGTCTGTTCCACAAGACTATACCCGTTTTTCATGTAATTCATGGACAGAGCCTAGAACCAAAGTCAGGAGAACCCAGCTGCCTAATGCCTGTGATGAAAGGCATTTCTGTTTCTCCAAAAGGAAGACTGGGCTAACACATCCATCACAGGATAAAACTGAATTCATAAACCCTTTTATATAGGGTGCATTACCACATTGTCCGTCTTCTGCATATCACTTGGACCTGTCCCTGAAGTTCCCCAAAAGTATCAGGTCATGCTCGCCTCTGCTCAAGGCTCAGTCTTCTGGGCACCCATCTTGCTCACATCATGGTGGCTCTCTGGTGTGCTTGGACCATCACTCATCCTTGGTGCCGATTCTCCCAGACTTGCATTCAGCTGCCCAGCTTTTTGCCACATCTGATGAGGCTTCATGCCCCAGGGCCGTCATTAGACTTATCCCCTGGAGTCTCAATCACCATTTCAAATTTGGTCTTCTCCATCTGTCACATTTGACAACTGGCACCTCCTCGTACAGTCCTACACAAATAAAAACAAAAAACTGGCTGCTGCCACCAAAATGCATCCAAATATCATTTTGACCCGCAGCAGCTGTTAAAACCTAGCACAGCAAACAAGTCAGGGTCCACTCCCTGAGCACAGGCTCAAAGCACCAAATTCAGATACCTGAAGCATAACTTTTACAGTCTACTGCAGTATCTACAGTTGGTCTACTATCATTCTTTCATAAGCCAATAAAAAGACAGCTACCACCAATAAGCAGATGTGGATTATAAGGATTTAAAGCATCTCCATGGCAAGCAGCTGCAATACAAGAATATTACTCACCCTGCATGGTGCAATGTAGCATCTGAGCCTAAGAAAGAAAAAACATTCCACCAAGATGGATTAGTCACCAATCCCATCAGATCTCTTTATAATTCTTTGCAACACATATCAACAGTCCTGACAAACAAGATGTCAACTGATGTGCTGTTTCCTGCATGGTTTGTCTCCTCTGTCATGGTCCAAGGACTCAGAGAAGTCACAGGAATATGCAGGCTGCAGACCAGAGGCCCAGCTTGTTCTCCAACGTCGTGGAAGGGGACTATACGTCATGGAGCCCGAAGGCCTACGCTCCCATACGCCACACGGACAGAGCCAAGAGAGAGCAACCTCTCTGGATGTCCACGTTGGACAGCTAATTCAATGCACTGCAACAGGCTATTCCCCACCCTGCCCCCCACGCATTCACCTCCCAGATACAAGCCAGTGGCTCAAAGTCAGTGGCCCAGTAACCTCAATCCAATACATGGATGCATCACCCACCACAGAACACGTGAAACCAGGAATGTCAGAAAAACCAAGCACTGGCCTCCAGACCCGCATATGAAGTGCACTGGTTTCACAGCTTCAGCCCAATCACACGAGCATTACAGCCTGGAAGAATACATTTGCAAAGAACCTATAAAATACCACAAATACTTACTTTGTGCATAGAGTGGCACCGTCTGCAAACTGCTGACATAAAAGAGGGAAAAAAAAAAAAAAGCACATTAGC